TGCTTTACATGACAATCTGTGTCCTCATTTACCCATTCATACAGCACTCTACTAGATCTATACAAAGAATAATCAGAGCTTTAGATCACATTCTGAATACAGTTAAAAGCAGATGAAAAGTCAACAAAAAGCAATCTTACAAAGGTTTTTGTACCTTCAAGGTGTCCTAAAATCATATTTAAAAGAGTTCCTGTTGCATCTTCCACTCGTGTTCTTGATGACAAACTTACCTTTAACCCCCATGTGAACTCGCTTTGTAAGAAGGCCCACCAGAGAATGTTTTTTTATCAAAAGCTCTGTGGTTTTACTGACTTTTATGAGAATGTTTTATTGAGTCTCTTTTAATTTTCACCTTCATCTGTTGGTTTGGACTTTTGGCATGTAAGAACAGGAAAAAACTCTCGGTGATTGTCAGGATGTGCAGCTAAACTGCTGGTATAGCCCTACAGAACCTCACTGACCTACACAAGGAGAGGTCAGTGAACAAGGCCAGGCTGATTCTGGCAGATCCTGATCATCCACTCCATGGTGAGTTCAGGTTGTTTCCATCTGGACGCAGGTATCTGCTGCCCAGATGTAGGACGAACAGACTCATTCATCCCTGTAATGATCAGGTTTCTCAATGAACACTGATGACTTCCGTATTGTTATTTTAATGTCTTAATGCCTTGTCTGGTATGAATGTTTTATATCTACTGACTGTGAAACTATTGCCCCTTGGGGATAACAAAGATACTTGAACTTGAACATTCATACACTAATGGGACACACATCAGAGCCGGTGAGGGGCTCAGTGTCTTGCCAAGGGACACTTCAGCATGACTGCTGGTGGAATCAAACCCCCAACTCTCCCATTGGAGGACCACTGCTTTAACCACTCAGCCACAGCCACCACCAAAAGCTAACAGCAGTTAAAGGCTAGATAAATTTAGCAGAACGTTAGTTTGTAAAACTAGCATTGGTGGCAATAACATTAGAAGTATTAAATTAGCATAAAAATTAGTACAATTAATATCAACATTAGTAGAACTAGCAATAATCAAACTATAAAGTTTCTTTTGACTACCACCTTCTGGAGGGTTTGCACTCGCTTCATATGGTTGATATTGTTTTGTGCTGGATACCCCTCCTGATGCAACCTGGGCTCTATATGACCACCTGGGGATTACAAGACTGTGCCACTTGTCCATAGAGCTACCAGCTACTAGCAGCAGTTGAACTACAATTAGCACAAGTAGCATTAGCAGCAGTGGCACTGGCAGTAGCAGAATTAGCAGGCGTATTCTGAATTAGATTTCATAGAGAACAATTGTTTCTGAAGGATCTGTAGGCTTTAGAAATAGAACATTTGTTTTTGCTAATAAAGAAAAATGTTTTTGAAAAGTATAGAAGTTTCAATCTACTGAGTGAGATGATTTTTTTTTTTATAAATGAACTACTAAAATAGCACAAAGAATACAAAAGTAGTTGGAAGACAAACACCATGAACAAACAGGAAAAGAAGTGTGAATGCTAAATCAGCAGTAGTAGCATTAGCAGCTGAATCAGCATTCATACAACTTTTTATTTATCTGATACGTAAAACCAACAATATTAAAGATCACCTCTGCTTCAGTGTTTCAGTGCTCAGGTAATAATGGCTGTAAATGATCTCCGGATAAATTGTATTTATTCCTGTCTTGTGCTGGCCTATTTGTTTTTGCCTAGTATGTGCATGTGTTTGTGTCTCAGGTATCGCTGTTTAGTTTTCTTCTCAATAATTGATGTGGCATTCATAAGCATTTTTTGTCAAGAAAATGTAATTTGAAACATTTTCCTTATTTGCTTTCATTTCAAGTTACCTTAAAATGAAACGTCACCGCTTAGTTTCATTTTATCCAGCAAAAAGTGGCTGAATTGAAAAAACTGACTGCAGAAACCGATAAAAGGCATGAAACTTTATGCTTCTGTTTTAAGCATGGCAAAAGTACAACTCTGTTTTCACTGGTTAGTTGTATTCTATCTCTCTCTCATATAAGAATATGCTGTGAGCTGTAATGTGAGTGGGGAACGGGTGGAAGAAAGCCAGAAGATGTGGATATGGAGAGGAGGAATGAGATACAAAATGTGTGTGAATGAGAGAGAAATAAGCATAACAATAAAGCTGGACTGAGTAGAGGTGTTGAAGGTGAGTTTAAGTACCTGATGTCAACCATTCCAAGTAAAGCACACAGGAGAAGTGAAGAAGAAAGTGCAAGCAGAGTGGAGGGTGATCTGTGACAGAAGGAAGGCAGTAAAGGTGAAACGAAAGGACCAACTCAACAGGATTAGGGATGAGTACATCAGAGGGAGAGGTTAGGTTGAGCAGTTTGGAGATAAATATAAAGTTCGAGAGGCTGAAATGATTTCAACATGTGCAGAATAACTCTAGTGGATATTTTAGACTTAGTATGTTGAGTATGAAGATGCCAGGAAAAGGAATAGAGGAAGATCATAGAGAAAGTTTATGGCCATAGTAAAGGAGGATATGCACAATGTTGGTGTGACAAAGAAGATCAATCAAATGATGAGATGAATGCAGATGACTTCCTGTAGTGACCCAGTAGGAAGAAGAGGAATTGTTGTTTTATAGTCAATAAACAGATGCACTCTTATTTCACTGTAAAAAAAACTTTATCACATGAACATTTACATAATGTATACAAACTATTTTAACAAGCACAGAATGTGTTTTACAATGTAAATACAAATTATACAAGTTACGCATGCAGATTGTGATGCTAGTCACTCTTTGTTACGAGACTAATGTTGTTCTACAGTGTGGAGTCTGCTCTGAACAGAGTTTTTAGTGGGTGACCTGCTCTAAAATCAAATTAGCTTTGACAAACTTTCACTTTGTCAATAATGGGATGTGCAGGTCTGAGTTCAAGGACAGAAACATTGCTGTGCTTTAGCCTGTTTAAAGGAATACGTTCAGTTTTTCATTATTTTCAGCTTTGCTGTTAAGCAATGAGAAACTGTTAAAACAATGAAATCATCCTTGCCACTCTCGCTGCTCACCTTGCTGCTTCATGTTACACTTAGCTGAATGACTAGGAGCATTCACACGATGATGGCATGGATGAGATTCCAGCTTGAGGAAACTGACCTGTGGGTCAGTTTCAAACAACTTGTTTATTCCTTTAAAGTGTCTCTCTTCTTTGGACTTTGGGTTGGTCTCTGTTGGAATGGCTGAGGGATCAACACAGAGCTACATCAGCACGTTAGCCCGTTAGCACATCCTAAGCTATTTTTCTCTTAACTCATCACTACATTCAGTATGTTTCTGTTTGTATTTGTCTGCCCAGGATGCTGCAGGATCAGATGGGACTTCAGGTCCACCTGGACCTGTTGGAGAGAAGGTCTGATCAGGTTTATCCTTTTTCTTGATGCTGATTGTGAATCACCTTCTGAGTGTGTCCAAAAACGTTTTTTTATTGTGTCATATCTAGACATTGCTGAGTTGTAAATGGACTGTACTTATATAGCACCTTTCTATCTTATCAAGACACTCAAAGCTCTTTACACAACAACCCGTGTCCTCATTGACCCATTCATACAGCACTCTACTAGATCTCTACAAAGCTAATCTGAATCTGTAGAGATTCATCAGAGCTTTAGATCACATTCATACACTGATGGGACACACATCGGAGGCAATGAGGGGTTCAGTGTCTCGCTCAGGGACACCAACATGTGACTGCTGGTGGAATCGAACCCCCAACTCTCCTATTGGAGGGCGACTGCTCCAACCACTCATCCACAGCTGCTCCAGTTGCCCACATCTGTGCATTCTAAAACGTATTCTGTCTGTGTTTTAATTATTTGTTTCTTTGGTTTATATTTCTATTGACGTGAATAAGGAAAAAATGTCAGATCATGACCTCAAAAAAGAGTGGGTGCTCATTTATTTTTCTATCATCAGGGTGAGCAAGGGCTACCTGGGCCACCTGGACCAAAGGTAATCAATAGACAAGAGCAAACTGCACAACTGCAAATCACATTTTTATACAACTAACACAATGATAGTTGGATAACAATAGAATGAATAGTTTGGTATGTGTTGCTAGTGTCTTACTTACTTTTGTTTTTCCAGGGTGAATGTGGGTCTGTTGGTGCCCCAGGAACTCCTGGGCTCCAAGGGCCCATTGGTCCTCATGGCAAGAGGGGCCCAGCAGGTCCACCAGGCCCTCCTGGCCCACCTGGAACCCAATTCTTTGTTGAGGTGAGACTGGTTAAATAAAACACCTGCTGAACACCCATCCTCTGTTCTTTTAACCGATTAATAAGCTGAGACAAAAACTGAAGGGTTACATTGGAGAAGAACAAAAACGGGATGTCTTCTTCTGCACATTAGTTTTTCGATTAAAAATGTACTGAGATCATGTTTGTTCCTATTTGGAGGATATGGAGGGATCTGGGAAGAGCGACATGCTGATTAAAGCTGGTGTCAGAGGCCCTCAGGTTTGTATGAGTCGATGTGTTTATGTGCTGTTTGAATAATTTCATTTCAAGGTAACTCTTTCTGTTCTCTTCTCTTCAGGGTCCCCCTGGGCTACCTGGACCCCCGGTAATCAGTTTATGAAAACTCATCATTGTTTAAATTCTAGTTGAACTAACATGCGCTGGCCATAAGTTTTGTTTCTGGGGAAGTGGTGAGCCCCTGTTTGAGCTGTATTTCCATTCTGCCTTGCAACTTATGTTGCTTTGTGGTTCTGACTGTAGGGTGAAGATGGAGCTCCAGGACCTCCAGGGCTCTCTATCAAGGTGACGTCATTTTAATGATGACAGTGTTTCAATGTTTAACAGTCTAAGTTGTCCTTTTTCTCATTTTGTTTTCACTGTTTTAATTCATTGAGTCTGATTTTTATCTGTGGTCACCGTATGGTTTTGCCTGTAGAGTGGGCAATATCTGCCTGAAGCAAATATGAGAGTGAAGTTTAGCATTTCTTGTTGCTTCTTACTGTGTGGTGCTTGACTGCAGGGTGAACCAGGAGTTCCAGGACCGGAGGGTCTTCCAGGCCCTGCTGGACTACCAGGTGCTCGGGTAAGCCTGTATATTTGATATAGTTTTTTAATCCAGGTTCACCAAACGTTTTGTGCAGTGATGCTATGAACATCTGTGTAAATATCATGGGTGACCTTTTCCTCCATTAAAATGACAGTTAGGTTGTTTAAAGTTGTTTTGATTAGATCAGTTTGTTTGACATTTATTTAAAGTCATTAATTTCACAATGACTCACAACTTAATAGGTTTGTAACTTGTGCAGATCTGAATTGTGCTGTTCCTGTGACATTTGGGAAATTATGTTGCCTTTGAATTTGTAAGCTGCCTCTTTCTTTATTAAGTTATCTGACTGGGCTGCCACTGTTAAAGACTAGTTGGAGCTCAAAACTGAAACAAAACAGGTACATTTTCTTTTGCAATCTCACTGAATGTGCATTAGAATGGCATGGTGGTTCAGTTGGTAGAGCTGCCGCCTCTCAACAAGAAGGTCGCCTTTCTGGGTGGAGTTTGCATGTTCTCTCCGTGCATGCGTGGGTTTTCTCTGGGTACTCCAATTTCCTCCCACAGACCAAAAACATGCATGTTAGGCTGATTGGTAACTCTAAATTGTCTCTAGGTGAGAGTGAGAGAGTGAATGGCTGTTTGTCTCGTTTGTCTCTGTGTCCATGTGATGGACTGGATACCTGTCCAGGTTGTCCCCCACTTCTCGCACAGTGACTGCTGGACATGGGCATGATTAATGCGGGCACCGCAATTTAGAAAGGAAGAATGGGGTAATTATAATGTATGGATGGATTATTTCTCATTTGTAAATTCCCCAGTATAAACAGATATTACCTCTGTTCTTCAAAAAAGCTTCTTCCAGTTAAGGCAGATAGCTTAAGTCCATGTTGACCAGGTCTGACCTTGAAAAAATAGTCCATGCATTTGTTACAACCCAGCTGGACTATTGTAACGCCCTTTATGTTCAGGTTTCCCTTTCACATCTTCAGCTCGTCCAAAATGCTGCAGCTCGGCTTTTAACAGGAACTCAAAGGTTTGAGCACATTGCACCAGTTTTGTCCTCCCTTCATTGGCTCCCTGTGTCAGAATTGATTTTAAAATCCTCCTGTTGAACTTTAAGTGCATTAATGACCTTGCACCCTCATACTTCTCTGACCTACTTCAACCATATGTTCCTTCTCGGGTGCTGGAATCAGCTGATCAGCTGTTTTTGGTTGTATCAAAAACCAGGCTGAAGCTCAGAGATCAGGCTTTTTCAGTCATGGCTCTAAACTCTGGATCTGCTCCTCAGCATCAGACAGGACACTTCACTCCCTGCTTTTAGATCTCTCCTGAAAACTCACCTGTTTTCACTGACGTGGAACACAGTATGATCTGATTCATTATCCCACTGTTTCTCATTGTGTTTGTGTTTTTTATTTTTGATGCTTTTAATTACATCTTGTTATATATATTTTTTTCCTTTTGACTTAATTTTATTGTTAAGAACTTTGGTAACAGCTGCTGTTTTAAATGTGCTTTATAAATACATTTGATTTGACTTGACTGAGTGACCAGTGAGCCGTGCAGTCACGTTTTGATCGATCAGTTTTTGAAAATCCTGCCTTATCGTTCTGTGCACGGCTTGCAAAATTGTATTGTAGGTGGTGCACATTGTTTTGTTGCCCATGCTCCGCCCACAGCATACCCACTTCTGCAGCAAGGTTATGATTGAATGTAGTGGAATATACTTTTGAAATAAAGACAGGCAGATTTGGACGAGTTTTTCCAATATTTTTTTATTGATCATTAGTTTTTGAACTTGTAGATACTGAGGAGACGCCTGTGCAGATGGTATAAACCTTAACACTCTTACGACCAGTTAAAACCTCCCATGACTAAGCTGACAAGGGTTTAAGATGGATTTGAGATGCCTGCAAAGGCTCAGTGACTATTTTGAGAGAAACTTTGTCTCACAGTTTTGAACATGTTCAAAAATTAAGCAAGAACATTGTGAGCATTTGTGACTCATAGGAAGACATAAGAAACCCTACAAACATCATGGCTCCCAGTGAGAGACTTCCTTTAGTCAGCTTGTAGAAATATACTGTATAACTACAGCTTGTACTAAAAATCTATTAGAAATATAGAGTCACTGTTTACAAGATATTGTAAGTTTGTGTGTCGACAATGGTTTATTTTTTAATTCCTCTTAAAATTAGTAACATCTTTTGTCGGTTCTTTTGACTTTTTTTATTTCTTTCCCTCCCCTCCCGCATTATTTTGAATTTAATATTGAAACGCTGAAGCAAAACAAAAACATAAGCTTCCTGTTTGTTTGTTTGTTTGTTTTTATTCTTCTGAGTGACCTTAAACAGAACTGGCTTGTTTAGATTGGGTTGTCCAGAATAAATCACACATCTGCTCCTGGCTAAGAAAGGCAAAATAAACTTTTTTATTTACTGCATTAAGGGCAGCACGGTGGCGCAACTGGTAGAGCTGCTGCCTCTCAGCGAGCAGGTCCCTGGTTCAAACCCCGGTCCAGGGGCCTTTCTGGGTGGAGTTTGCATGTTCTCTCCGTGCATGCGTGGGTTTTCTCCGGGTACTCCGGTTTCCTCCCACAGTCCAAAAACATGCATATTAGACTGATTGGTAACTCTAAATTGTCCCTAGGTGTGAGTGAGAGAGTGAATGTTTGTTTGTCTCGTTTGTCTCTATGTGGCCCTGTGATGGACTTGCGACCCGTCCAGGGTGTACCCCGCCCCTCGCACAGTGATTGCTGGACATGGGCACCAGCGACCCCCGTGACCCAAAATGGAATAAGCGGGTAAAGAAAATGGATGGATGGATTTACTGCATTATTTTTATTTATTCATTTTCCATAACCAGGGACCCAAGGGCGAGAAAGGCAGTCCAGGATCAAAGGTAGGGCAGCCAAACAAGAAAAGAAATTGTTCGGTGTTTACAGTTTGCTCCTCCTCTTTGCTGCAGCACTTAATTTTATGTCTTCCAAATCCTTTCTTTACATTTACTTCAATATTTCTGTACTACAGGGTGATCGAGGTGCTGATGGATTTAGTACTGTAGGGCCACCTGGGCCTCCTGGACCTCCTGGACTTGCTGTGAATTTACAGGATGTAGGCGTACACACACACATACACAAACACAATCTCTCACACACACATATGCACACATGATTACGTTTAGATAAATGAAGAAAATAGTTGTATGGTTGACACTGTTTAATGTAAAAACAGTTGATGTGCCAGTAATGTGTTTTTGCTTTAAATTATTGCTAAAAACCGTTTTTATTCCCGTTTAGTTTATGGCCAGTAGAAAATGTTGCAGTAAAAAGTTTTTTCTTATTTTGCTGATGAGAGTACAGTAGTCCCTCGTTTATCGCAGGGGATCCGTACCCTGAAGCCCCGCAATAAGTGAAAAACTGCCAAGTAGGAATAGTAGTACAAGTAGTAAATAGTAGTTTATTTTAGTGTATATATATATATATACACTAAAATAAGACAAGTGTATATATATATACACTAAAATAAGACAAGACAAGACAAGACAAGTCAAGATAATTATAATTATTATTAATAATTATTATTTTGATATATATATATATATATATAGGCGTTTAAAGCCTTCCGACTCTCTTGCAATATTCTAAACAATGTTTCTAAACTCTAAACGCTCTAAAGGAGCACAGAATGTCATGATTTCTGTTCCCTGCCGCTCTCGGCCACGCCCACTTCACTGCAGAGCGGAGATATGACACACTGCAGGAAGAAGCTTTTTAATGTGCAGCAGGTGCTAAATAATTTACAATAATTTATTTTAAATAAAAATTCCATACCGATCGTGCGGCTCATCCATCAATCAGCCAGTTGTGTGTCACGTCCAATCTTACTTTGAAAAACCACGGTAGGGCGAGTCTGCGATCAATGAAGTAGCAAGGGACTACTGCATCTTTTACATGGTGTGCATCAGATATAAAAAATGTTATTCATTCAGCTCGTTTGTAGCAATACCAAATGTCACCATGCAATCAGTACATAGCTGAGTATGAGGAAAACTAATAAAATGTTGGATTATTGAGCATGGACTTTGTTGGTTAATAAAATGTTGGTTATTAAAAACTACATGGACTACAGTTATGTTATCTGTGGAGTCTGACCCAGACTCCATATTTTATGTTTTGTCTGCAGCTGCTCCTGAATGTGACCGAAAGTATCTCCAACCTCACTGAGATCAGAGGACCCCCAGGGCCTATGGTGCATAGCTAACACTTGGATACTGCAGAAAAGTCACCATGATTTTGAATGTTTTCTGCTGCCTCTTCATATTTGTTTGTTTACTCTTGGCCACAGTGTTC